TTTTGTGGCGATTTGAGAGATTTTGAGGGTCCAGCCTGGCTTTTGGGTGGAGGCGGGGGCGACACTGGATTTTGGGGGGATTTCAGGGGTTTTGAGAGTCCAGCCTGGCTCTTGGGGGAGCCTGGCTGGGGGGGCGGGAGGCGCTGGATTTTGGGTGGATTTGAGGGGTTTTGAGGGCCCAGCCTGGCTCTTGAGGAGGGGGAAGGACACTGGGTTTTGGGGGGATTTCAGGGGTTTTGAGAGTCAAACCTTGTTCTTTGAGGGGCCCTGGCTGGGGGCGTCACTGAAATTTGGGTGGATGTGAGGGATTTTGAGGGCCCAGCCTGGCTTTTGGTGGGGGGCACTGGATTTTGAGGGAATTTGAGGGGTTTTGAGGACTCAGCTTGGCTTTTTGAAGAGGCTTGGCTGTTGCAGGGGGGTGTCGCTGGTTTTGGGGTGAATTTGAGGGGTTTTGAGAATTTGGGCTTGCTCTTGGGGAAGGGCACTGGATTTTGGGGGGATTTGAGGTGTTTTGAGGACCTAGCTTGGCTCTTGGGGGGGAGCACTGAATTTTGGGTGGATTTGAGGGTTTTTGAGAGTCCAGCCTGGCTCTTTGAGGAGGCCTGGCTGTGGCAGGGGGGGTGTTGCTGGATTTTGGGTGGATTTGAGGGGTTTTGAGGGCCCAGCTTGGCTCTTGGTGGGGAGGGCACTGGGTTTTGGGTGGATTTGAGGGTTTTTGAGAGTCCAGCCTGGCTCTTTGAGGAGGCCTGGCTGTGGTGGGGGGGTGTCACTGGATTTTGGGTGGATTTGAGGGGTTTTGAGGACTCGGGCTTGCTCTTTGGGGGGGCACTGGATTTTGGGTGGATTTGAGGGGTTTTGAGGGCTCAGCCTGATTCTTTGAGGGACACTGGCTGGGGTTGGGGGGATGTCACTGGATTTTGGGTGAATTTGAGGGGTTTTGAGGGCCCAGCCTGGCTCTTGGCGGAGGGCACTGGATTTTGGGTGAATTTGAGGGGTTTTGAGCGCCCAGCCTGGCTCTTGGGGGAGGGCCCTAAATTTTGGGTGGATTTGAGGGTTTTTGAGAGTCCAGCCTGGCTCTTTGAGGAGGCCTGGCTGTGGTGGGGGGGTGTCACTGGATTTTGGGTGGATTTGAGGGGTTTTGAGGACTCGGGCTTGCTCTTTGGGGGGGCACTGGATTTTGGGTGGATTTGAGGGGTTTTGAGGGCTCAGCCTGATTCTTTGAGGGACACTGGCTGGGGGTGGGGGGGTGTCACTGGGTGAATTTGAGGGGTTTTGAGGGCCCAGCCTGGCTCTTGGCGGAGGGCACTGGATTTTGGGTGAATTTGAGGGGTTTTGAGCGCCCAGCCTGGCTCTTGGGGGAGGGCCCTAAATTTTGGGTGGATTTGAGGGTTTTTGAGAGTCCAGCCTGGCTCTTTGAGGGGACCTCGCTGTGGGGAGGGGTTAGGTGCTAAATTTGGGTGGATTTGAGGGGTTTTGAGGGCCCAGCCTGGCTCTTTGAGGGAGCCTCGCTGTGGGGCGGGAGGAGGTGCTAAATTTGGGTGGATTTGAGGGCACTGGATTTTGGGTGGATTTGAGGGGTTTTGAGGGCCCAGCCTGGCTCTTTGAGGGGGCCTCTCTGTGAGGAGGGGGGAGGCGCTAAATTTGGGTGGATTTGAGGGGTTTTGAGGGCCCTGGCTTCATTTTCCTGCCAGACACGCTAGCTCCCAGGGTCAGGTTCCCCCCGATCCGCAGGAATTTCCCGGCCAAACGGGAAGGGCTGCCGGGCAGAACCGCTTCCCGACTGCAAAAAAAACCTTGAATTTGGGTCCAAACCCCCAATTTCCCCATCTCCGCATCCACGGGGTTCATCCACATGCGGCCTGGCGGAACCCGGTGCCGATTCCGGGTGTTTTCCTGGGAGCTGTTGGTGATTCCGGGTGTTTTTTTTCCCCCCCTCCGCAGGCCGGGTGTATTATTTCAACCACATCACCAACGCCAGCCAGTGGGCCCCGGCGCCGCGCGGGCGCGGCCCGAAGGGGCCCCGGGGAGCCGGCGCGGCTGCGGTGCTCCCACCTCCTGGTGAAGCACAACCAGTCCCGGCGCCCCTCGTCCTGGCGGCAGGAACGGATCACGCGGAGCAAGGACGAGGCCCTGGAGCTTATAAACGGCAAGTAACCCCAGCACGGAGCAGAGAGGGGTGCTCAAAAACAGGGAAAACTGCCTTTAAAACCCACAGCCCAACGCTTCCGGGCTCCCCGGAGCAAAATTTGGGGGGTTTTGAGGTTTAAACGTGGACTTTCATCCAGCCCAGCCATTTGGGGGGACAATTTTGCTGTGTGACTTGGCTGTGATTAAATACCATAAGGAGAGGTGTCTTGTCCCCCTCCCCGTTGTGTTTTTTTGTAATGTTATTCCAGAGGTTTGTTTGTATTTCATTTGTAAATGTGTATTTTTATGTTAAAATAAAGTTAATTCTTTAAAGCTAAAACAAATGTTCTTTAAACACTTTTTTTTTGCTTTTTTTTGACATGCCTTTTGACTCTTTGCCCTAATGGCCGTGGGTGTAAATTCTGCTCAGCCTCTGCTTGAAACCCTGTTGCTTTACAGGCCTCCTGCCCAGGGCTGCACAAATGACTCCATCTGCTCAGCTTTTCCCGCCGTGTTGGAGCTTGTTAAGGAATTCCCTATGGAATTAGGGGCTGGAGATCCTTTCCAAGGGAGGCCATGTGGCCTCAGCCATGAAGGGCAGAGGACACCAAGGGCACAACTGGCCGTTGCCTGGAGCCTTTTCCCCAAGATTTCCCCATTTTTTTCACCCAAATTGGAGGGAAAATGTCTTTGCTGAGGACCTGGGAGCACTTGGGCAGTGACCAGCAGGTGGGGTGCAGGTTTTTTGGGAGAGAAATCGAGTTAATTGGTAAAAATGGGCCTTTTCTCAGGGAATGGCCTCATTTGAGTCAGATAAGTGCATCTGAAGGCAGTAAAGCAGGAGATAGGGTTTTTTTTTCTTTTTTTTTTTTGTGCTAATGCAATGGAGGGAATGGTCATATGGAATTCCCAGGGCTAAAATGGGAATGTTGGGCACTGCCAACCTGCCCCTGCGAGACTGGGAATCATTAGGATTTCGGAAGGGGAAGTTTTCTCGGGCAAACTTGGAACATTTCAGCCTCAATAACATTATTTAGCAAAATGTCATCTTTTTGAGCCTGTTTGGGTGCTTTTCTTGGGTGCCAGAGGTCTTTGCTGCTGCGGGGCTGCGGAGGGAACTGTTTTAATCTGTCCTCGCTCATCTCCAGGTGCAAATTAAACTCTTTCTTCCTTTCCTTCAGCCCCAAAATGTGCAATTTAAATTGACAGCTTCAGAGCCCTCTCATTATCCGTTAAATTTCGGAATTAGTCATTTTGCTGTAGTGTCTGAGGAGCAGAAACTTGTCATTAGAGCTCACATCATAGAAATGCCCTGCTTGTGCTCTCCACGAAGGCCTTTAAGGATTTATTTTTGTTGCCACTTTTGTTATCGTGGCTTTATTTCTCCTTTTGGTCTTTCTGAGCCTTTTTAAAGGCTTTTTGCTTTTTTAAAAAGGCAAAATCTTTCCGTGAATGTCCCCACTTGTCCTTGATAAACCCAGTTTCTGGGAAGGTCAGGAGATCAGCTCTGTTTGGCTTATTCCCTTCAGGATCACACTCTGCTGTTCATTCTTAGGCATATATATAACATATACCCACACATATATATATTTTAAACAGGTAAAGCGTTATATTTGCTCAGGGAGTTGGTAATTTTGTTTCTACAGGAGGAAGGGCTGTCCTGAAGATGAGCTTAGACTAATTGTTAATAAATTTAAGCTAATTGTTAATAAATTTAGGCTAATTGTTAATATCTGCCCAGTTGTAGGTGCTGTGCTTGGCTTTCCCCAGCAGCAGGGGAGGAGATCGGAGCATCTCGAGGTGGTTTTGTGCACAATATTGCTTAATTTAAGCCACTTTCCTTTCTGCTCTTGCCCTCCCAGTGGATTTACAAAGAGCCCTGCTCTTTCCTAGCCTTTTTCATCAATTAAACCAACCAGGCTTTTAGTTTCCAGCAATGTAGGTCATCCCTTCCGCCGCTTCTGCTCTTCTTTGCACTTACTTCAGCTCCTATTAATCTTCCTTGAGCGCTGGGTCTTCGTGGTGCACAATATTCCAGATTAGCTCTTGGCAGTGCCCTATAATGTGATATTCACCATTACTCTTCTCTCTGCTGCATTTCTCACTTGAAAGGTTGATTTTGGGGCTGTTTTTCATTGCTCACTGGGGTCTTCCAGCTTCCAGTCGAGCTCTGGGCGTATAAAAGAAATCCTAGTTTTTGTAAATGACTCCACTTGCTGTCATTTAACTCTTTTTCTTTAATATCTGATCATCCAGCTCACACTTAAGGTTTCAATCCTCTCTTCCAACAGCATCAGGCCTTCCAGCCTCCCCTCACCCATTTCCCTTGTATCCCAAATTTCCTGCCACAGAGTCACTTCATCAGACCAAAACTCATCCCAAAATTTCCCTGATATTCCCTGTTTCAGCACAGCCCAATTGCCATTTTTTCATCTTATTATTTTTATATTAATCTCCCATTTCTCTTTCGCACCTGCAAAAATTTGCAGGTGCTTTATTAAAACCTAGACAGTATCCGCACCGAGTAATTTGTTCCAAATTATTGGAAACATTGGGGAAAAGGGCTTGTTAATCCCCCTGCACAGAGCTGAAGTTCAGGAGCAAATCTCTTGTTCTTGGGTAGGTGACTTGCAGCAATTACCTCAATCCTAATTTTACCCATATTATCTCAGTCCTAATTTTACCCATAAAAATATTCCTGTCGCTGACCAGCAGATTTTGCTGCCAGGCTGGGCACTGCCATAAAAATAGAAACTTTTAATAACCAAATTCCATTTCAGTGCATTATCGACCGACTCGCTCCACGAGGAACCTGTTGCTGTGACTAGTGCAGGCGATTTGGGACATGAAGGTGAACGGTTTGATCCTTAATTTGGGTGATTTGGTGCTTTAACATCAATTCCTGACGCTCCTGGATGTGACATGCACCAATGTGACAGGTACTAGCTAGGGGCTGGTAGCTCTGTGTAATTAGATCTGCACTTACTGTGCTGCAAATCCATATTTTAGGGATAAACTCTGTTTTGTCAGCAAATAGACTGTTGATGCTCAAGCAGCTTAGTTTAATCGGATGAAGAGTATCTGCTCCTGTTCTAAAACATGTGATTGCTAGGAACAGTTTCCTAGGCAGATACACATTTTATTCAAGATAAACTTTGTCCTTTTTTAAAAAAAATATAGAACTTCTGAATTTTCTGTGGTCTTCTGGCCTTCTCCACCTGTGCACAATAAGTAGGATAAGTGAGAAAAGTGTCAATATTGCTGCTGCTGGTTTCGCTTAAAACAGCTTAAATACTTCAGGAGTTAAGTTAACTTTGAACTTTTTGAGTTATATTCAGAACTCCTGTTAAAAAAGCAATTCTAGGGGCAGATACAATTCTTCCTTTCCCTTTTTAAGAGTTTTTTCCTGGTGTTGTTTGTACAACAGTCCCGTTCGGGTGAAGATACAACCCACCTATGAACTCTGTGCTGAATTGCAAAGATTTGGGTCAATTGGAGCTGCTTTAAAAAGATAGGATGGACTAGGAGGGGGAAAAGGGGTTTTAGGGCAGAAGACCAATCTGAAGACTTAAAATCATTTAGTTTTGGTCATGCAAGAATTAAATTGAAAGAAAAATCATCTAAAAATGGGTAGCTTGTGCCTCCACATGCTGCTGCTGCTTGTCTTGACATCTTCACAGTGATGAGCAAAATTGATCGTTTTTGATCAATTGATCATAGGTGAGTTTGGGCCTTTCAGCTTGGCTGCAACTAGGAAAAAAACTCAGAAAAGTCATTTCAACTATTTGGGCTTCTATAGTGATTTGGAAAGCACAGGGCACTTTGCAATCATGCCATAAAATCATAGATTTAATTTGCAGGTGAATTTTACCCAAATTCCCTCATTAAGAGGTATTTTCTTGTCTCTCGAGGATTCCACAGGTATGTAGAGGTTTGTAGCATTAAATCCAGCTGGGAACTGCTTATTTGTTCATATTTTGCATCAAACACTCTTCCGTTTTGGGAAGCATCGCTGGGATTTTTGAGTTGAATCCTGTATTTTCTGCACGTGGCGCCTTCAGCCCGGGCTCGTCCCCTGCTCCAGGGGGAATCGGATATCATCCAACCAGGATCATCACTTGGTCTTGGAACTTGCACCCGACTTCATCACAACTTTCATCCCTTTAAACTTGCAGCAAACCAGGATCAGATCCTTGCATCAAAGCGCCCGTTGATTGGGAAATGAGGAGTTATCTCCTGGTTTTTCTCCATGAGCGGATTCAGGATTTATCCGGAGCTGCTCCCCTGGTGCCAAAAAAGTTCCTTAGCAGCTCGGCTTAGAGCTTAAACTCTGCCTGTTTCTTCCCTGACCTTTCCAAATAAGTTGTCTCCATCCATAATTAATTTGTTTGGGATTCTTCATGCTTGGGCGTCTACCAAGGTGAACCCTTCTGCAGTCAGAAACTCCTGTGTTTCGATACAGTGAATTTCCATGCTTTAAGGGGTACTCGTAGGTGAAATCAGCCTTTTAAAAATCATTTTTTAATCTTTATTTTCATTTTAGAAGCTTAGATAGGAGTGGCTTGTGTCAGAAACTCCTGTGTTTCGATACAGTAAATTTCCATGCTTTAAGGAGTACTCGTAGCCTTTTAAAATCATTTTTTAATCTTTATTTTCGTTTTTAGAAGCTTAAATAGGAGTGACTTGTATGGCACAAGGACTGAATTATCTCTTGTATCCACAGGCTACATCCAGAAGATAAAATCGGGAGAAGAGGACTTTGAATCCCTTGCTTCCCAGTTCAGCGACTGCAGCTCGGCAAAAGCAGGAGGGGATCTAGGTGCTTTTGGAAGAGGTAAGTTTGGGATCAGGATTACGGAGCTGGTATTCCCGGCGGGAGGAATGTTGCACTCTGCCGTGGGGGGAATGAACATGAAAATGGGCATCCCGCTGTGTTTGTAGAAATTAAACCAATTAAGAATGCAACCCTAATATTGTAAACGAAGAGTGTGCAAGTGCCCTTCCTGAAATGGGCTTTTCCCTCTGGAAAAGAGATTTCCAGCTACACCGAATGGAAATCCAGTGTAATAAACCATGAAAGAGAAAGCAGTGGGTAAGTCTGGCTAACGGCGCGCCAGATAAATGATTGGGCTTTCTAATCTTAAATCTGAAAGCCATTAACAAGTTGTAGAACCAGGAGCAATTTACAGCTCCCTGAAATAATGTTGCTGGTGAGAGAGTTTCTTACAGGGTTATTGATCAGTGCAGTGAGGGATTGGTACCAGAAAGCTCGTGGATGCTCCCTCGTTAATGAGATTTGCTAGCACGGAAGGAAAACCTTGGAGATGGGAAAGGGAGAGGGAGTAACTTGGGTTGCGCTGCGTCAAAAATCCTTTTGGGAATAGCTTAATTTCTCACAAGGAGCAAAATATCAAGCAGTGATGTCAGATGAGCGGCTACAGTGTTTAAAAACAGCCCCAAATCTTAATAGCAAGGGGGCATATTCATATTTTATATGGAGAGAGTGAGAAAAGCTGCTTTTGGAGAGAACACCCTGGGATGTTGGACCATCCGCACCATTGGGAATTGCAGCATGGCTCCGGATTGATTTTGTGGGATATTTCTGGAATAAATAAGGCCCAAATTGGCTCGATGCTACAGACTTAAGTGTAGAAAGTGGCTGTTTTTGCCTCTGCCACCTGCAGAGCCCCTGGGTCCCTAACCTGCCTGGTTGCCCCAGGAATATTCCCAAATCTTCCTCCTTTCCAGGGTCTAATTTTGCTCTGGTTCAAGCAGCAGTTGCTTCCTCTGGTGTCTCCTTTCAGCTGGTGCCAAACCATAATATTTTACGGATTCCTACGTGATGGAACATTAATCTTAGGATGCTGCGACTGCTGCTCGGGGTTCATTAGACACCGTGAGTTTACTGTGGGCTTTGGAGACAGAGGCAAAGAGATTTCTCCTGGTTTTAGCAAAAAACAAGGGAATGTTGCAGGGACCAGTCTCCACTAGATGACACTAGAGCTGTGAGTGTCATTCTCCATCTCTGCCTCTTTTGGGCTGAAAATGTAATTTATTAAGGCTTGAAGCTCTGCTTGCTTTGGAGGTGAAGTTATTAGAACGTTTCCATTCGTCTTCATGAAAAAAAACTTCAAATAAGCCATGTGTGGCTTGGGGAAGACCCCTGTGGCATGGCAAAGAGGCTACAAAAGAGCAGAAAATAACCCAAAAACGAAGGGGAGAGGTTTTTGTGCCGCAGTTCTGCCTGGCACTGGCGTTTAGTTGAAATGCTGAGATGAGAGAAATGGAGCTCTGGAAAGTCCTGCTTAACAGGTCACTTCAGTAATAAAAACCCAAGGTTTTTTGGAAGGAGAAAATATCGAGCAGAAGCTAATCCCGAAAGAGAGGAATTTAGTGGCACCAAACTGCCTTGCATGAGAAATGGATACGGATGGATTTTGATCCCGGAGTCGATAGGAATTCCCAAGATGCTGCTTAGCTCCATGGGATGCATCCAGGATGCTCCGGAGGGGCCGGGAAGCCGCGATTCCGGAAGCTGAAGGCTCCGACCTCAAGCGGGGTTGGTAGATTCTCTGCTCTAGCTTCTGCCACTGCAAATTGGGCAAAAATGTCCTTTTTGGAGCCTGTTGCATGATGTCTTTAGTCCTCATTATCCCCCCAAGCAGGGGCTTCCTCTCCATCCCGGCCGCGCGAGCTGGATCGTCTTTGGAGCAAACACCTCCTGCAAATTCTTAATTGGCAACTTAATTATTTGCCTGGAAACTGCCTTCGTTTGAGGTTTGCTTGCTCAGAAAGAGCCCCTGCTCTCGGCTGGCTTTAATGGGGCTTTCTCCTTGCTGCTCCGTGCAGGTCAGATGCAGAAGCCGTTCGAAGACGCCTCCTTCGCGCTGAGGGCCGGCGAGATGAGCGGACCAGTTTTCACGGAATCAGGGATCCACATCATCCTCCGCACAGAGTGAAGTGCCTTGGCGACGCGTAGAAAGGAAAGGGCGAGGGGAAGAGAGGAAAAAAACAAAACCAAACCCGACTCCAACCCTGCACTCCCCCCGATGAACTTCATATCCAGTTAAAAAAAAGCTCATTTCATATCTCGGTATCTTCTGTGGCACCTGACACGATGTTTTCCACCTGCAGAGATGCATGGTCAGCCAGGGGTGAGAACGCAATCCAAATAAGACAGTAGCATCTTTCATGAGCAGAATGGTAAAAAAAAAAAAACACAAATTTGGGGGCATGCCACAGCTGCTTGAGTTATATTGACTGCCTCCAAGCTGAGGAATTGTCGATGCGAAGGGTCCCACTTGAGTGCTTCCCACATCCACCCCCTTGGAGCTACGGAGTATTTATTGCGGCGCCGGCGCCGGCGGCCTGTGAACTCTGGTGCTAGGACGGAACGAGCTCCCAGCCCTCTGCATGTTTGTTCCAATGCCATTTATTCCGGAGGAGCCGCGTTTGCTCCGGTTCTTTGGTTTGTCGAAATGATTTTTTCCGAAGCCACGCGTAGATCGGCTGTGAGTTTCCCAACCGGTGTCCGCCTGTAGCTTCCCTCGGAGCGCGGTTGTCTCCGCGCGGTGCTCTCTCCGCCTCGGCCGTTGCTTGGACTCCGAAACTTGAAGATGCCTTTGGCTCCCGAGCCCGGACAAGAGGTCGACGGCCCGGAATTCCCGGCGCAGGGAGAGCGGGAGCCGCTCCGTTGCTCCGTGCCGCTCGCGCGGGCTGCGTTGTGGCTTCCCCGTCCTCGCTACAAGGCTCCTTCCTCGAGCTCCTCTCTTGTGCTTTCGACACCGTAAGTCATTGTTTTTCGGTCCCACCGCTTCCATTTAGTAAAATAAAACCAGAAAAAAAAAGCCCAGCTTTCCTCCGACGCAAGCAAGCTGTATAGTTCCAGTTCTCTAATGCAGAAAATAAAGCCCTCTCCAATTAAACATTTCCAGAGCCCTCGTATTGATTATTTCTCCTCTGACTCTAGAGCAAGCGCCAACCTCTGCAGGGGGGCCCCCAGCCGATGCTCTTCGCGTCGTAAAATGGAAGCGTGACCTCTATTAAGAAAACTCCCTTTATTCTCAAAATTTCTGTCTTAAGTTGTTGCCTGATACCCCTTATTCTCTTTCATGGCCAGGTTTCCCCAAGTCCTATTTAAATTCTGCTACAAAACGTTATTGCAGGTAAGGTGAAAACAGCGTTTCTGCCTCTCCGGTGCAATTCAATAACTGCATTTTCCCAGTTCTGCAGATCCGGATGTTGCATTTATTGCATGAAACCTTCACTGAGAGTGACTCTGCGGTGGTTTTTT